GGGGAGAGCGGGCGGTGACCTCTTTGCAAAGTCGAAGGGGTTTTGCAAAGTCGAAAGGGCCAGCCAGTGCGGCGCACGATCGCAGCCCTGGCGCCGCCCTGCTCGCGTCGTAGCCCCCGGGAGCCCCGCTTGCTCCACTCTTAGCTATTTATGTGTTGCGTGTTTCCTGTCTCCCCCAAATACAGCGAGAAAACGGGGCCACGTCTAATCCCCCCCAGAGTGGGCGCTGCATGGCGGTTTCTGAAACAACGCGAGGGTTGGAATGAACTGCCCTTCTCTCAGAATCCCCCAGGACCAGGCACCCACCGCCCCGGGTCCTTCCCCCCTCCTTCATCTTACGCTGACGTCATCAGTGTCCCTGTGTCTGCACAGCCCGTCCCCTCCCCCTCTCCAGCCTGCAGGGGTCCTAGGCCCAGCTTAGGGAGCCCCTATTGTCGTGAGACTTTGCTCCCACGTCAACCACCCAGCCCTTCTCAATTCAGCCGTTAATTATGTAAAAACTCATTCCTTGTTTTCCCTGCTAGCCTGGGGGATGTTGAGATCCAGCTTCATCAGTCTTGTTCACTGCTCTATCTGATGGCACATCATAAGTCTTCATTCAAAAAAGACTCTAGTCCCCATTACCCCATCACAGTTGGGACTACGCCTCCAGGTCTAGGGGAAACTGAGGCCGGATGGAGGAGTGCATTGCTGCAGTATGAGACCGGGAATGATTCTTCTGATGGCCTGTGGACCTTCTGATGATTTTAACTTTTTGTTGTGAGTTGAGTGAAAGCATACAGAACAAGTTAGTTTTCCTTCAGCAATGTACACACGTTTTGCATTGTGACGTGGAATACTATCCTCACAGTGTAACAGCGTTCTTCCCACTTCCCCTTTGTGGTTCCTATTTCCATGCATCCTTTCCTAGCCCTTTTCTGCTTTTTGAATTTTATCCCTGGACAAAAGCTGCCCCTGTGATTTCATATTGATTGCTCTAGGGAGTGCATACTTCCTTGGTGTTATTGCTCACCTTGGAGTCTTATTTGTTGTTTGGCTGAAAGTTGAGCTATGGGAGTGAATTCAGTGCTAGGCATCAAGGTGATTAAGGGCTACAGTCTTGAGCATTCTACTAGACTCTATCAGATCAGCAAGTCTGGTCTTTATCCTGATTTTATGTTTTGTTCCCCATTTTCCTCCCACCCAGGACCTTTGGTTGTGATATCTTTCAGAACTGTTGGCCATGGTGGCTGGGCACCATCTAGTTCCTCTGATCTCAGGGCTGTGAAAGTGGAGGTGTGCATGGACCGTTAGTGTCTTGCACTAATTGTTTCTTTGATTTCCCTCATTCTTCTTTGTCCCTGTTGGGGATTGATCAGTAGTTTTCTCACACACTTTTAAAGACCCCAGTCACTACTTGTTAAGTTAGCAGACTTAAGGAAGAAATCAGAGAGAACGAGAGAAAACTTAATCCAGCTTTATTAAAGGGGGATGGAGAGAGCTCTTGACCATTCTGGAGATGCAGAATGGGAAAATCACACTATGAGCTTACTGGGGAGGATTTTTATAAACAGTCTTTAGGGAGGGACATTCTACTCTGACATACCATCCACCTGCTAGCTCAGCCAGGTAGGCAAGGCCGTTTGCTCTTCTTATCAGCAGCAGGCAAGGCTGTCAGCATTTGAGTTCTGAATTCTTTTCTTGGGCCCCCTTTGCCCAGACTTAACACTACTCACCACAGTGGGATGTAGAGCTTTGTGGAACTAACTGTGTTATATCGACTGACTTAGCTGTCCCCCAAGACTGTGGTCCATGTTCACCTGCCTTCTCTCTATACCTTCTCGTCCTCCATTGTTCCAGGAGTGTGTTGGATGAGGACGTCTGTCACAGTCTTTTGTTGCTGTCCTGTTCTCTCTTATGATGTCACTGGATATGAGCAGAGAAAATGAGGTGAGATTGTCACATGAGGGTACCTCTAGCCATTGTTATTAGTAGCTATTGAGACAGTGCCACTCATGGACAGCTTACATGTAACAGAATGAAACCTGCCGTCACAATTGTTGCTATGTTTCAATCCACTGTTGTGGTCGCTGTGTCAATCCATCTCATTAGAGGTTCTTCTTATTTTCACTGACCCCCTTCTTTCCAAAAGGTAGTTTGGTGTTGTAGTGTGTTACGTGTTATGCCGCCAAGGGAAAGGTCAGTGGTTTGAGTCCACCATCTGCTCCATGAGAAGATGGCAGCCTCTTCTTGTAAAGGCTTACAGACTCAGACACCTGGCAGAGGGTTGTTCTTAGTTAAAATCTACGGACAGTGGTGCGTTCTATGTTACCAAACATGATCTCCTTGCCCAGAGACTCATTCTCAATATTCAGTGCTATAATCCATATTATGGATTCTTCATCTGTCTTCCTTTTGCATTGTCCAGCTTTTGCATGATAAATTGTTGTTGTTGTTGTTGTTGTTGTTGCTGTTAGGTGTCGAGTGGTAGACAACTCATAGCAACCTTATGAATGAAAGGCCTGAGCACTGTTCATAGAGTTTCCAGAGGCAAACCATTTCAGAAGTGGATGCCACTCATGCTTCCAGGCTTGTTTTAATTAGGAAGCTCCACCAAACACTGTCCACCATGGGTAACCATTATTGCATGTGGCGCATCAATTCTTTTCCTGTCATCCTTATTCATACATATATTCAATATTCTCTACCAGCCCCATAATCTAAATTATGGCTTCTTCTTCTGTCTTCCCTTTTCATTGTCCAGCTTTTGCATGATAAGAGGTAACTGAAAAGACCTTGGCTTAGTTCAGATGCAACTTGGTCCCCAAAGAGCCATGAGGCACATTAGGAAGGCACGTGGTCATAAGAGGCTGAATTTATTGAGCGTTTATTAATTCTGTGCTAGGCTCAGTGCTGGGGGCTTTACACACATAACTGTATTTAATATAGCATCATTATGAGATCACTACTATAATTATATAAAGCTTACAAAAGGAAATCTCTGTGACTTCGAGTTAGACAAAGATTTCTGAGATACAAGAACAAAAGTGTGATTAGAAAGAAATCAACACCTGGGCTTCATTTAATGAAGAATTTCTGCTCTTTGAAAAAAGAATTGTTAAAAGAATGAGTGAAAAGGCAAACTGCAGTGTGGGAGAAAAATCCTTCCATCCCGAATACTTAAAAAGAACTCTCAAAACGAAAAAATAGAACAAACAACATATTTTTTTTAATGGGCAAAAGATTGGAACAGATATACTTCCTCCAAGAAGACATACAGATGGCAACAAAGCACGTGAAAAGCTGTTCAACGTTTTTAGTGACTCTCAAAGTATGATGAAATATTACTACAGTTATTAGCACACACGCTATGAGTTGTAGTCAACTCAGTGGTGCCTAACAACAACAACAACAACAGTAAAAATTCTTAAGTGAACAATACCAAGTGCTAGAAAGCAAGGAACTGGAACCTCTTATCATTGCTGGTAAGAAAAAATAAAACGTTCTCGCTTTGTAAGCAGTTTAGTAATTTCTTTTCAAGTTAAGTCTACATGTGCCACGGACACAGCAATAATCTCATTCCTGGGTGTTTGTTCACATGACAGGAAACCCATGTTCACACACAGTCCTGTACAGGAGCATTTATAGTCATTTTATGTTTAACGGTCAAAACCTGGAAATAGCCCAACTGCTCCTCAAGAAATTTTATCTGCAAACTGCAGAACATCCAGGCAGTGGACTATGCAAAGAGCAAACGTTGCCATCACGTCGATTCTGACTCAGGGTGCCTCCGTGAGTTACAGAGAAGCGCTCCAGAGGGTTTTCTTGTCTTTATAGAGCACTCTGGTGGCTCAGCATAGAGAGAGAGAGCAATTGGCCTAGTGGACAGAAAGTGATACTACCAAGCCAAAGGTGGGTGACTTTAATCCGCAGACCTTAGGCCTGTCTTTAACTGGTTTTGGTGAAACATTCTTCCAGGTCGTATAGCTCTGGTGTGTCCACTTGCTGTACAGAGGTAACTCCTGGTTGCTGTGAAGCTGAACACTGTGACACTGATGTTTCAAATGCGATAATGGTCACCCACGGTGGACAGCATTTGGTGGTGCTCCCCGATTAAAACAAGCTTGGAAGCAGGAGTGGCATCCACTTCTGAAATAGCTTGCCTTGGGAAATTCTATGAACCTGGAGAAAGGACGAAAGCTATACGAGTGTCCAGGTCTTTAGTTCATAGGGTCTCTATGAGTCGCCTATGACTCGATGGCACTTAACAACAACTGGTGGCTCAGTAGTTAAGCCCTTGGCTGCTGACCAACCATCGTGAGTTCAAATTCGCATAGGAGAAAGATGTGGCAGTTTGCTTCTGGAAAGATTTCCGCTTTTAGCTCTACGCTGCCCTGCAGTCACTCTAAGGCAGAATCGACTTGGTGGCAATGATTTCAGTTTGGTTGAGTGAGTCTTCATGGAAGCAGTTTGCCAGACCTTTCTTTCTCAGTCTGACTGGGTAGGTTCAAACTGCCAGCCTTTGTTGTTGTTATGTGCTGTCAGATCAGCTACAACTCACAGAGACCCTGTTAACAGTGACTCTGAACATAGCCCTCCCTGAGCCAACCTCACCAGCTCTGAAACTCCTGACCCATTCATTGCCACAGTCACTGTGTCAATCCAGCTTATCAAAGGCTTGATATTCCTAATCATGTTTCCTCTCCTGTGTTTACTATCCACCCTTCTAAGCAGGACCTTCTCCAAGGGTTGACA